CACGGTAAGATTGTTGCCGGCTGACGCGGGCGAGCCTATCAATCATAAGGCACTGCCCAATCACGGCAAGATTGTTGCCTGGCTGACGCGGCGGAGCCTATCAATCCATAAGGCAATGCCCAATCACGGCAAGATTGTTGCCGGGCTGACGCGGGCGGAGCCAATCAATCAATAAGGCAATGCCCAATCACGGTAAAGATTGTTGCCGGCTGACGCGGGCGGAGCCTATCAATCAATAAGGCAATGCCCAATCACGGTAAGATTGTTGCCGGGCTGACGCGGCGGAGCCTATCAATCAACAAGGCATGCCCAATCACGGTAAGATTGTTGCCGGGCTGACGCGGGCGGAGCCTATCAATCATAAGGCAATGCCCAATCACGGCAAGATTGTTGCCTGCTGACGCGGGCGAGCCTATCAATCCATAAGGCAATGCCAATCACGGCAAGATTGTTGCCGGGCTGACGCGGCGGAGCCTATCAATCAATAAGGCAATGCCCAATCACGGTAAGATTGTTGCCGGCTGACGCGGGCGGAGCCTATCAATCATAAGGCAATGCCCAATCACGGCAAGATTGTTGGCGGGCTTATCAATCAATGGCAATGCCCAATCCATTGTGCCGGGCTGACGCGGGCGGAGCCTATCAATCAATAAGGCAATGCCCAATCACGGGTAAGATTGTTGGGCTGACGCGGCGGAATCAATCCAAGGCATGCCCAATCACTAAGATTGTTGCCGGCTGACGCGGGCGGAGCCTATCAATCATAGGCAATGCCCAATCACGGAAGATTGTTGCCGGGCTGACGCGGCGGAGCCTATCAATCAACAAGGCACTGCCAATCACGGTAAGATTGTTGCCGGGCTGACGCGGGCGGAGCCTATCAATCAATACGGCAATGCCCAATCACGGTAAGATTGTTGCCGGGCTGACGCGGGCGGAGCCTATCAATCAACAAGGCACTGCCCAATCACGGTAAGATTGTTGCCGGGCTGACGCCGGAGCCTATCAATCAATGCAATGCCAATCACGGTAGATTGTTGCCGGGCTGACGCGGGCGGAGCCTATCAATCAACAAGGCACTGCCCAATCACGGTAAGATTGTTGCCGGGCTGACGCGGGCGGAGCCTATCAATCAATAAGGCAATGCCCAATCACGGTAAGATTGTTGCCGGGCTGACGCGGGCGGAGCCTATCAATCAATAAGGCACTGCCCAATCACGTAAGATTGTTGCCGGGCTGACGCGGGCGGAGCCTATCAATCAATAAGGCAATGCCCAATCACGGTAAGATTGTTGCCGGGCTGACGCGGGCGGAGCCTATCAATCAACAAGGCAATGCCCAATCACGGCAAGATTGTTGGATACATTTTGTGACGTCGAGTTGTGGACTAAATGCCACGAGAAGTTTCAGATTCCACATCAGAAACTGAGATTTGCGAGCAGGCTTGGTAGCCTTGATGCACTTGTCATCAGTACTGCAAAATGTGGAATATTTAAATCTTACAAGGATTAAATCCTATCATTTTCTGAAAGCGCCTCAAGGAGTCAACAGGAGATATTGTATTTAAATCTGGATTCCTGATTAATGATTTATGCAATAAATACATGTGGAACGGCACCTAAAATACACTTCTAACCCCCCCCCCCCAATAAAATCTCACTGTATTTATCGTGTTACGTTATTACCTTTCCTGCCCATTATCCAAACTGTTATTTCACAAACAGTAAGCTAGGCAAAAGCGAACCTATTTATATATAATTTCTATCCCGATGCACTGGCAAACTTTGCATTTGCCGTTGAAAACTTTATTTTTAAAGTTTTTGGGGTTATTCATGACCCACGCAAAGTATTTCATACATCGTTGAGTGCATAGTTCTACTCTCTTATTACAGCGTCCTTATATTTTCCAATGAATCATCTGGGAAAAGTACTTTCGGAAAACCGATCAAACTCTATAACGCATTCCGCAAATCCATTACAACTTTTGAGAGTCGGATACGAAATAATTAAAATTCATAATCGAAACTTCTGGCAATGCATTTTCCAATCCAATTATTTATATTTGATATGTGTAGTTCTAAATCAATGTTTCTAAATTATTTATACTTAATGTGTGTAGTTCTAAATCCTTAAGGACTATATTGGATCCCTACACGAGAACAATAGTCGCAGAAGCACAAGAAGAGCTCACAAATGTACTTTTTAAAATCAAAATTAGAGTACAGTTATCTCTTTGGTCTAGTTGCAGTTTCACAGCCACACCATACGTGGTAAACTTTGCCCGCGATGAAGAGAACGACAAAAAATACAAAATCTTCCTCTACGACATTTCCTTCGCAAGTTGGTAATTGTGCAACGAGTAATATTCCTATGATGATTGCACCACGTTAGGGAAACTAATGACAAATGACATGCTCGAAATGATCTGCTCAGGCAAATTCTAGCATTAGAAATTACGAAAACGGTCAGCAGCACTCATGTCGGGCCGGGGAAATGCAGCGAAGGGTTTTGGTTCATGTGCCAGGAGACGCCATTCCTTGACAAGCGTCGGCGAGAAGGGTTTCTTTTTTTCAGACTATACAGCGGCAACGAAGAAGAAATAGACATTCGTAACCATCTCAGTTTCACATCTGAGCTGGCGTCCCAAATGTCGAAAAAAAGCGATTACAGACAAGGATTCAGATAATCGATGGAGTGTAAGAAAAGATGGATGTTCTCGCTGCATAAAGGTATGTGGTTTTCAGCGAGCAAATTATTAGGAACAGTTATATCGGTACGAGGATCCAGGAAGCGAAGCCCCCCGGCTAATCACACATACTACCACGGGGGTCCAGAGGCGTAGCCCCCGGATAAGCGCATGTAATACCACGGGGGTCCAGGGGGCAATTAGGTTAGGTTGGATGTTTCATTAGGACGCTTTGTCTGGCGACTACGGGGGTCCGATAGGGGCTTTTTGGTGGTGGCGGCATGGTCGTAGATTTTAGTTTAGTTTAGTCCTTTATTTACCACCCTGGCTAACTGCACAGGCGTGGGCAAGCTGTGGTACATTTGATACATGGTCAAAGCATTATATAATAGTATTGCAGTGTAAATCTAGATCATAAAATTATTACGGTCTAAAATATATCATTTAAAAGAAAAGAACAATCAGTAGTCGTAGATTTTACCGAAAGATTGGTTGGACATCCGTAGATTTTTTTCCTTAAATAATCGTGTCGGTGGATTTCGGCGTTATTTATGCTGTATTGAAGCCCTTTTGGATACAGGATACTACGAGCGACGCACAGAGATAGAGGGGAATGGAGAACATCTTCCAGAGCGTAAGAAATACAATAACAGTTTCAGCTGCAGCGACCCCAAATAAAGATTATCGCTGGAAAGGCTACTCAGATCTCAACGATTCACGTCCACAAAAACCGCCCAAAATCGTAGAAATCAGTGGATTTCCTGCCGAAAACCTGTTCTTTTACGTATAGCGCCTTTAGGAAGCATTTGCACAAATATTGCCATAAAAGAAGATTGTCTTAGTTTTTATCGTTCTGTTCTTTCATATATGTTTTATTTCCCAACTCCGCCACTACCTCGTACTGCATTTTGTCCAGTTTTAGGTTCGGAGTTATGAAAAGCCTCCCACAACAGCAGCAGTTGCTTTCATGTTGACAGTAGGCATTTTCCCATGTACCATTCATGCCCTCCCTGCTGTCGGGGCTATGATAATGGGTAATGGGGGGGGCGTAACATAATCTCTATAGGTAATATACAAGAGGAATCCATACATACCAATATCATCATGATTGGTCGTGTGAAAGTTTTCCGAGTAATTACCCAAAAGAAGTCACTGCAGGATAGACATCGGCGCTCATTGACCACCAATTGCCAAAATCGAAAAAATATAACCGGTAAGATATGAAAACTGTACATAGAATCAGTTAGTATATTAACTTTTGCTCTTGCATTTACATAATGACCCCATTAAGAGGAAGTGGCAGTTAAAGAGGGAAATTACACCATAATACCTGAAATAATTAGCTCAGGCAAAAAAAAAAAAAAAAAAAAAAAAAAAAAAAAAACTGAAATGACGGGAATAGGAGGAAATAGGCTGAAATAGGCTGAACGAAAGATGGGGATCTGTGGGCGGTAGCTACCTGTAGAAAAATACGGCGAGTGGGCGAGGCTGTTACAAAAGATTTGGGTCATGCGATGATGATGGATTCACAGGGATGTCCGCAAGGTTATTGGATGGAGTAATAAGGACTTGTAGCCTCGGGGAGGTGCAGCAACTTGGTAAACAATTACTATTTATACTAACTTCCTGTGCCGATCATTTGCGATGAAAAATAACTACAGATTCACGCATTTTACTCCGTGAATTAATGAAACATTAATTGCAAGGTCCGATGCTTGTGTGAAACAATAATAAAAAGTCGAACGTGGGTAGAAGATAAGCTCCTTCTATTTTCTCGCTCTATCGTTTGCACATACGATTTTCCGTATAAAAGATGGCTAGTTGAAGCTTGGCCCTTACCTAAAATAGCACCCACTCACTCGTCTACTAGCAACACCAAAGATTCTTACCCGTGCATTCATGATTACGGTAGCACGCGAGCAGCTCTGGCGGGGTGAGCTCTCGGGGGGACAACAGGTCCAGACTCCAGCACCGATGTTGCGAGGTCCCACTCAAGCCAAGAACTAATTTTCCACGGAATACAGGAGTTAGAACTGGATAACGCTGGGTTTAGCTCACTCTTCACCTTCGAACGAGCTGTTAGGTAGTTCTTGCACTTCGTTTGTTTTCGCCTCTTTGGCCTTTTCACATAGAGGCGAAAGACGTGGATGTTGACAGAGTATCCGTCTAACTGCCACAAGTACGACACTTCCTTCTTAACAGGCAAACCCTGTATGATACGGTGAGATAAGAGTAATTATGCGACCAAATTTACTTTGGCAAGTTTTGCTTTTATTATGATTGGAGGAATATATATATATATATATATATATAT